TTCCGCCTATTCTAGGTAGAGGAAGTGCCTCTTGTTCTTCGTCTTGCTCCTGCTCCTACACATGCTGAGCTGACCTCTGTATAGAACGAACCCTATTGCTAGGATTTCGCCCTATCCGATCAAAGACACTAACTGACCTCTGAGGCTCGTATTTTGGTGGGAAGTTTTCTTCCAACTGTGGTTTTGCCACTTGAGTACCTCGGGTATAGGAAGTGACATGCACTCCCACTTCTCTCTCAAATGGGGTGTTCTTTGTGGTGGCTTCAATGACCTCGGGCATGAGATGCCGAGTTTTGTCCTTGAGCTGGGTGCAGCCCTTGTGGCATTGAAAAGCCCAGCTAACATTGGGCTTGCATGAAGAATTCACGCATCGATAGATTCTATGCTGTAATGTCTCTCATGTCTGCAACTATTTGAGCCATCCCTTCAGTAAGTGTTGCTGTCCTATCGCCTTGGTGATGCTGGTAATGGGGTCTTCGATGCATGACATTGGTCTGGAGCACCTCTTCTTCAGAGGCGTTCCTATGCCCTTCAAGATTTGCATCCTCATTGCTATAACTCATTTTTCCACTCCTTTTTCAAGGGTGTTATGAACTTAGATTGTAAGTTGACTTAGTTCTTTTCCAAGAACGTCCCTTTTTCAAGGTAAATCAATAGTCATCCGGTGGCTTTTTCCGGTGCTAAACGGGGAATTCTTTGGTTGGAAGTTTCCCACGGACGTCGTCAATTTGTTGACCTCGCGAATTGGACCTCCCCTTATGGTGATCGTGTGTTGTTATGCGCAGGGAGGAACACGTGGATTGACTCTCGATTGGCCACGTGGAGATCCAATTCGTGAGGTCAACAATATCACTGAATTCATTAATGGTTTGAAATGTACATTATGTCAAGGAATAATGTTCAACGTTTGAATAAGTTTAGCAGTCAAAACTTAACGTTTTAAACTATAGTCAACATCGAAGAAACATGTATAAGTGTGATTATTGAGAGAATTAACTCAATTATGTTGCTATGCTACCAGTGATGGTTCCTCACAGTACACTTGGGAGCACTTTTTTGAAATTTTTTATTCACATGGGTGTCACGCGGTGCTCATGTGAGTTTACTTCAACCAGGGTCGCAAAATCTTTTTGGCAAAAGAGCTTAATTGATTCACTCAATTTTATAATATGCAGGAACGCAAGAACGCCAGCAGTAAATAAAGTTCCCTGCTTCGTCTCTCCATCGTCAGATCTTCCTCTCAACTCTCAGATTCTTCAAACTCAATAGCCAATCCTCTATCAGTTCTCACTCTCCTAGCGCGCCAAATACAAATCCACCCCCAAGAACACAGGTACACCCTACCCACCCACGTCCTGTATATATATATATATATATAATATATATATATTCATCTATGTATAAGTAGTTGATAAAATCCGTTTTTTCAGTGAGAGCACTCTAAATTGCTTAGTTTTGTTTACAGCCATTGTCAATCACTTTGTGTTGGTGGTTTTTTAATGGGATTTTTTTTGTTGTTGAGCTAGGGTTTTGATTTCTGTGAAAGAATGGCGGATAGTCCCGGTGGCAGTGGGAGTCATGAGAGTGGC